GCCAATATGCACAAAAAATCGTCAGACCGGTTTATTTTATTAATGATGAGAGCTTCTATTTCCTGACCCCTTTCTTAATTGAACAACCCAGAGATAAGGTGGAGAAATGGTTCTTATATTTTGTCCGCAATTAGAAGGTCCGTGACGTCAAAAAGATAAGGTGACACTGACGGGATATTAATAACTCCTATGTATCAGATCGAAGAAGTGTTGACTTGGAGACCTATCTGGATCATGTCTCTGTATTAACTCATTGCTTATTAATGAATTGAGAATTAACATATTGTCCGTTACTTGACTGACGAAGTTCTGCCTCTTTCACCTGGTGTTTGACACGAGGACAAATACGACAACAATTTTGTAAATATTGGATTATATCCATTCAAGATACTTAAACAAATACTCCGCTGGACACCAAAAGAATTTTGTAAACAAGAAGACGAGGTGTCACTTTTCAAAAGATACCACAGGTAAAGCGCATTATTAGACTGACATTGACTCTTTACTAATGTTACCTCCTCATTTTGTGTCAGTATAAGTACGTAAAACACTCTCGTTCGATTTTCTTCCGCTGAATTAATTTCAGGTAAAAAATAAAAAACTCAGAGATGGGTTCCAGTATCGGAGAGTTGTAGTGACTCTGACAGGGGTGTCATGTCTAAAATTCCGACGCTCGTCTGGGATTTTAGATTTACAGATCGTGCTGTGCCTGCCACAGTGAAATATTTTTTGTGTTATTGCAGGTGTTTAAAAATTATGAAAAATAGTTTTACTTTACTTTGTTTCAATTTATTTATGAGTAAAATTTACAAAGTGTTGGTGCAAATAATCATGAAGTACCCATCGTATTATATTTCCTTAATTAAAAACTGTCGAGATATTTTCAAGATTATTTAAATTTACATAAAATTCCCGAGCGTAACACTTTAGCATTCATGATTTTAATAGGGAAAGGACTAATTGTATACAATAATGTAAGATATACATATACGTAGCTAGAAATAATTGTGTAGGTATATTTCCACGGCAAATCATCAACCATAGAACGAATATCGATTTAAAAAAAATAGTTCAGTATTATCTAAAAAAGATAACATAACACAACTAAATGTTAAATACATAATAAAAAACAGCATTTTACACATTTTTTAAAAATCTTTAAACAAAATTTATGTTTATTTTTGTAGGTAAATCATGTCGGTACAAATACAGTTAGTTATAATTTACTAAAAACATTGTTATTTGTTTAATAATTACGCGATTAAGTTTAAGATTACGTTATAAGCCCGGTAAGTCAATTCAGATTTATTGAAATGAGTAGGTACTGTATAGCAAAAAGCTTACTGAATGTATAATGTAATGTATTTTATTTCATACTGTTAAAAGAAAATTTCTGAAAACTGTTTGGTCTACATGCACTTACCGACTCTAATACCGTAATAGCTCACTTATTCTAGACTGAGAGTATAGCCAGAACGCTTTACCAGACAATACAAACTAAAATCTTTTAAAAATCTTTTTTTGTAGATATACGCACCCGAAAACAGCTGTTTTAGGAACTCATTTGAGTCCCTAAAATGAGTTTTTTCCGGACTCAATAAAATAGTACCCAAAACGGTTATTTTAGGTACTCAGTCCCTAAAAACAGTTTTTGAGGACTAAAAAATAAAATTGGTTACTATGGTAACAAAAATTTTTTAATTAGTAAGAGGCGTCAATTCGTGATTTGGGAGCTTTAACAAAAAAATCTTGTATGCACCACGTACGCAAAAGGTTTTAGGTGACTCCTCTCATTAAAGACTCCTCCGTCGCCTCGTCATTAATAAAGATTCGTCCTTGCGTACTTGGTACATAAATAGCTATTACCTATTTTATTTTATTTAATAATAATCTTTATCAGAAACTTTATAGCTATAATCTTAATCCTTGATATTTAATAACACAGGGCGACCAAAAAAAGTTATGTCGTGACTTGACAAATTATATATCACTTTGTTCGTCTCAGTGAGACAACTCAAATGCATTAAAATAAGTTTCAAAAAGTCCACACAGCACTTTGCACTAAATATTTTTTTTCTAATTTAAATAAATTTAAAATACTTTAAAAAATCATTACCCAATAACTAGTAGGCCGATTTCTTTTAAATAAAGACCATTCTAAAGGGATTGACTTGCCCTTTAGAATGATCTGCAATTTGAAATTGAACATTGGCGAACTTTTCTTCAAAGAGTGTTCCAAGAAGTTCGAAGTAAATTTAAATAATCTAAGAAAAACCCGATACGAGTAATTTTTTTTTCATCATCATTATCGTGTAGAGCATCTTTTTATTAGTTGAAGTCCAAATTTTTAAAAGAATATACGGAGTAGTATTCAAGATATGATTTTTTGAAGTTAAGGTTTACTAATCAAGCATTGCGCCATATACGAGTATGAAAAATGCATGTTAATCTTACTTAAAATTGCATTTTTATAAAAGTATTAGTTTTAAGACTCTTCTTTTGCTTAAAAATGGTCAATTGCACCTTCTTTGTTCTAATTAGAATAAACAAAAAATGATTCTTTACTTAAAACAAACAAAGAGTACCTGCGTACTAATTAAAGTAAATAAAGAGTTTTTTGTTCTAAAAATGACCACAAAGCAAAGAGGATCTAGAAGTTTAAGGCACTAGCCTTAAATATAAGGCAAATCTTTTTCAAATCAAATACTGTCGATTCAGATTTCGATTAGTTCACTTTGTTCTAGCTTTCTGAACTTTTTTTTTGAAAATGTTTTCAGCAAATGCTTTCTCATCACTTTCGAGTGATGTTAAATGCAATAACTGAGACGAACAAAATGATATATAATTTGTCAAGTTGTCACGACATGACTTTTTTTTGTCGCCCTGTGTAATTAGTTTTAAATAATTACTTTATTTATTAAATTGCTAAATAATATGTATTCATTAAATATTTGTTAAACTTAACACAAATAAGCATTTATTTTGTTAACAATTACAAAATATATATCAGGTGAATTAAAAATCTATGGCATAATTTTAAACACAAATACCCCTCTACAAATGAGAATAGATAGCACAGTGTTTATAACCCACCTCAAAAAATAAAAAAAAATTCCAAAAATCGGTATAAAAATTATTTTTTAGAAATATTTGTGATGCTAACGTTTATTCGATTATTATGAAACTTTGCATGTTTAAGAGACAAAAATACACTCATTGATATGATAGTGTAAATGAAAGTCTTGTAAAAGCTATACATGTCCTTTGGCAATGAAGCTCTTCCAGTTTTTGGGTCATTACTTTTTTAACCTTTTTTAACAAAAATATGACTTATAGAGTACCCAAGTCTATGAGAAATTGTCATAGAGGAGAAACAGGCTTGTGTTTTCGTAATGATCTTATAGACATGGTTTTAGCCTTGTTTTTAACAAAAATATGACTTAAGGTAAGTCTAGAAGAGATGGCCATAGACGAGAAATAACCCAGGCTTGTATTTTCGTAATGATTTTATATAGACAAGGTTGAAATTATTATGGCGTAAAGCGGTAGGGCCTAGGTATGTGACAGATTACTGTATACACCATGTGTAAAAAAATAAGAAGCTACTTAATCATTTTGATTTGAACACTTTCTGAATTTTAGACACTTCATTTTCAACAGGTAGAATTTATCACTAATACTATTTAATTCGTATTTATTGCCATCAGCATACGTTATGATGCATAACTCTTGGTCGAGATTAAATGTATTGGAATTCAAATATAATAAGTATGGAAAAGAAAAGATGGCCCATTTATACATATTTCTAGAAGATACATAGCCATAATTTGATGATGTGTGATCTTTGGGCTCATAAATTTTGTTGGTAGTAGTAAATAATCAACCAATAAACTTGATCGCGCTCGTGATGTTGATGCATTTGCAGTAGGTATATTTATACTGACTGGTTTAGGGTAGTTTTGAAAAAACTATCAAATGCGTACCTGAGATAAAAAATCAAACTAGAATTCCGCTATATTCCTGATTTTCAATGTCTTGGTAAGAAAATGAAAAATCTGTAGGTACCTATAAGCAGTTTTTTGCAAATTTTGTATCCACAGAAATATGCCCCGGTTAAACAGACTTCATTTAAACCTTTGTCCATAAAAATTATTTAGATTGGATTGTTAAATAAATAATAATTTCCTATAGGAAATAGAGCCTCAATTTATACAGGTAATTAGGTAAGCAAAAACATTGAAGTGATTTAAAAAAAATACATTTTTTAAACAGCACTTCTTTTTTCTTTATTTATTTATTAAGTTATTTTAATAAATTATTATAAAAATTAATCTGTAAAAAACTAAGGAAAAAATTGTAATAACCTTTGATACCTACCTGACCTATAAATAATTAATGAAATAAGATTACAACTTGACTTCATCTGAATAGTTTTAAACATTTAATATAAACACTCTTCCTTTAGTTGATTTTAACACTGTTCCTAACATATAGGCTCTGATAATTTCAATTTTATGGAAAATGCATTAGGGACTCACTTTAATATACTTAACCGTAAATTTTTTATTCCCTCTCAACTTAACAGCGGGAAAGACCCCAAAGTCCCATCTTGCCACCACTCAGTAAATTATTAAATTATTACATTTCGAAAATCAAACTTTTCTTAAATCATTCAAAAATTTCTTCTCCAGCATCTCAATATGAATAAGTCGATAAGGATCTCGGCCCCAGCCCATTAGAAACGCCACATGCGAACAATACAAGGCGAGCTGTCATGTCACACACAGTAGCTGACACTTGTACCATTCACTGGGATTGAAATGTTCCCTTATAAAACGGCACAATGATGGCTGGATCCAGACCAATCCCTCATCCAGCATCAAATGATCTTTGTGTGGCTGTTCCCTCATTGGTCGATCGTTCAAAGCGCGCAGAAGCAAGCTCCTCCCTCTGACACATATCCCGTCTGCCGTGCAACAGCATAAACAATCGAGTGCTTGCCATGTGACGTGTGTGCAGTGCCGACTTGATGAAAATGATGATGATGGACGTTGGGATGTACGGCCATCACAGTCAACATGGGACATACCCATCCGATAACTACTACAACTACCCCAGTGATATACCAAACGCCCAGCAAATGCCTCCACACTACTCCAATTACCACTACGAAGACCCATATGGATACACCGGGTCGGAGGAAACACCACCGTCGCCCCAAGAAGTATACTATCATCACCAGGCTATCCCTCAAGACAATCCCATAATCAACACAGAGACAGGATTAAGTTACACAAACTTAGATTATGGTAACTCAAACTACCCTCCTATCAACCATCAAAATTACAACGAACCGTATCAAAGAACCCATGAAAACATGTTGTTAAGACACCATGAGGAAGTGGGTGATGGACACCAACACCATTTTCTCCACGAAAACAAGTACCAATTGGAGGTTGACTCCGGGTATCATATTGGGGCAACTAACACACCCACAAACTCCTGCATGGAGTACCAACATCTCCAGAGGTATAAAGAGGAAACATTACAGGGAGATGGGAGGATGAGACAACACGTTATGCATAATTTGAATTCGGTTCCTCAACCACAACCAGTGTTACCAACGTATAAGTGGATGCAAGTCAAAAGGAATGTACCAAAACCAACAGGTGAGTAAATAGATAAAATAGTTTAATTTTGTAAAAATTGTAAAATGATTGTCATCTCGAGTTTTATCTTGTTGATTACAGCGGAAATGTTTCGTTACATTTGTTTATTGTAGTCTAGTTTAGCGACGCAAAGCGACTGGAATATTGTTGACTTTAAGTGTTTATGACTTATTTTTATTAATTTTGACAATAATTGAAATAAAAATAGATTATGCGTTTCATAATTTAATAAAACAAATGTCAATTGTTATTAATATCAAACAATTATCATCTGTAGGTGAGAAAAATAATTACTGTAACACAATTACATGTTTTTGGATAGAAGTTACGTGATAAGTTCATCAAAATATCATTATTCAAAATTAAATTTTATTATTTTTGTTATTTTGCAATTAGAATTTGTATAGCTTGAAAAAAACTGTTTAATTTATTTGGTATAATGAAAATTATTATAAAATGAACAAATTCAAAAAAAATAGTTGTCTTTGTCTAAATAAAATTCTAAATAAAACATAATATTAAAAATATTCTCTTTATTGCCTTCGTCATAAAACGCTGTACAAATATTTACAACTCTACTTTACATTTAACTTAAAATATTTAAAAATACTATACCTACATATGAGAAAATACAAAAAAGAATGACTATATGTTTGCGCGTTCAAGAGAATTTCAACGATGTGATTTATTATTTAGATTCATTATACCTTTAAAAATTACATTTATAAATATTCTCAAAACTAAATATGTATATACTATAGAAAATAGTTATTCTGTACTATTGGGGACTTTGGTCATCATTTTTCGGTCACTCCAAAAGAAAATAGGTAAGATAAACCAAGCAGTAGACATACTTCAAAAATAGGTCTCTTCATAATGTGCTGTAATATGTTGCTTACAAATTTTGATTTTTTTTTAATTCGTATTTTTTATTGTTTATTTTATATGTATTGAATAATAATAATACTAATAAATTATACGAATTTTGGTTTCAATAAATAAATTTTAGATAGAAAAATCAAATAATTTTTAAAAACTAAATTATTATTAAATATGTGATTAAGAAGTATCATATAACAATAACCTACAGAGGTCATTATTTTCAATTATATTTTCTTACTCTATCGTAATTGGCAAAAAAAGTTTCTACCTGTAGATACAAACAAGCTGATGTAAAGTTTTTTCTTTTATTTTCATTAAGAGTTACATGTTTCATCTGTTTTTCAACAGTGACAAATAATAGTTATTTACCTATCATTGGACTATTTTATTGCATAGTTTACATTGCTAATAGTCGGTGATGTGGTAATGAAGTTTGGTGTTATATTCGACCAAAAAATGTTGCAAAATTTTAACCTTATTATTTTTTTTAATATGAGGACATTTTTTTCTGTGGCTGTTTTTGCCGTTTTTAACTTATTTGGAGTATAGATTTTGAAGAACTAATCTAATGAGAGATCATATTTGTTTACAGTTGGTGTTACTAAACCCTCTACACCTCAGAAACTATAAACATTCAAATAAGGAAAATTTAGTTATTTTTGTTACAAGTGCCTAAAATACAGTTTTTGCGGACGAATTGTTCTTGTCTCCAGACGAGGCAAATCCAAGTCTGGAAGAGCTGATGAGTCCGCAAAAACGTTTTAGGTTGTTACAAACAACATACATACATATTTTTGTTAAAACTCCCAAAAAACGAATTCACACCTCTTATGTATTAATTTTATTAGTTATTGCTAATCTATTAACATATGTGAATTTAAACAAAAACTATTTTTTACATCTGATTTTATTCTGCCCTACCTTGCTGAAACTGATTACAAAAGTCATCAATATAAAGTAGTGTTGCTAATTAATTAATCCACATTTAATCAAATACTGATCCAGACTAAATCATTTTAGTGCAAATACAATAATAAATTTTATCCAGGTAGAACTGTAGAACTGTTCTAACAAACACCTTTTTTGAATGTAAATAAAGGTACAGTAGGTAAATACAGGGTGCGCTAGAACTCACGCCCCAGAGAAAATTTTCAAGTAAGGTAAGATACCAGGAACATGAATAAAATGTTTAAAAAATTCTGTCAAAAAATGTTGACATTTATTTTTTGACATTTGACATGTTTTATGCCTATTTAATGATTCTGATGATCTTGTATATGTTTTTTTACAATTATTTAGTAAAGGTACAAAAATCTTGCCAATAAAAGCCACAAATAACATTGAATAAAGTTACAATCTACAGCTTCCTTGTTTCCTCTTTTAATAGCCTATTGCAAAAAGACTTGGAAAATTATTTTTCCAACAGAAATAAATAGAGTCAAAGTGCAAACTTTAAACTCTCATAACTTCGAAATTTTTATAGATAAAATTTTTTTAACATTTTTTGCATGTTCCTGGTATCTTACCTTATATGGCATTTTTATATACAGCCTAAATCCTTTAACCCATCATAGACTTCAAAGTAGATGATTCTTACAATTTTAAATCTCAAATTAATGCCTATTATTGGCCAAAACTCCACCAATAAAATTAGATTTTAATATTCAAAGCCCAGTCGCATCATGCAGTTGCAAATTAAGAACATCTTAATAGGAAATTGCATTCTGAACCTTTTCAAACCCATAACGCACATCAGTGCGTTTAATCCGCTGTAAAGTGAAACACGTTTCTCGCGAAATAAAAACCTCCCTAATTTACGACTCTCGCTACCATACAATGTTGCAAGCATGACTATTCCAACATTCTTGTTCTCCTTGTAAATTTCATTTAGTGAAATCGATTATGCATGCCATGTCAGATCTCGGTCGGTGATAACTACACTTGACCCTTACGTAAATTGCCCCTTGCGTACTTTGTATCCACATGACACCCCGATCAATTTGTGGTGTTACACTCATCGCTTAATTACACTTCTTCTCACATTTAATTACGATATCCCACATTGTGCATAGCGCGAAAAGAATTGTTTTTTTTCTGGGCTTATGCACACACGTCGTGGCAATTTTTCTCGCTCGGATTCAACTTGCTTATTATTTTGAAATTGAGCATATCGTAGAAAAAAGTCGTGTGACAGTAGTCACAGCGCGTGGGTTGTTGGTCAGTTAACTCGAAGCGAGTTGCGTGCCTGTCGTCTACGGCACGGACCTCGTATCTGACATGCGAGCCTCAGGAAATAAACTAAAACCCAGCCACTTGAATTATTCCCAAAGTTTCAGTCGATGACAATGCGCTATTTTTAAATAGAATTAAGCTAATTACAAAACTTTACTACAGATATAACAGCGGTAATCGCACATCTTGATGACATTTTAACTTGTAGGGTAACTCCAGGAGAGGTAGACCACATTTTGAAAAACCTGCTGTAAAATTATGATTTTTATTTCAATTCAAACTACGAATGTACTTTCTAATAGCATGGACTTTTAGACAACTTATAAAAATAACAAAACAAAAAACACTATAAATTACTATATTTTTTCCATCTCTTCCACATTGTGAGGTTGAGACTGACCACTAATACTTTCCATTTAAATATATTTTTTTCGTAACAATGTTTTCTTTATTGCTGACGCATCTGTATCTATTTATACAGGGTGATTCTTAAATATACCGACAAAATTTATCACAGCTTTCTAAGGATAAATGGAGCCAAACTGTACCCTTTTTACGTTTATACCTTTTAGGGGCAAAACGCCCTTGATCCGTGCCACTTACGGCGTTTATGAATTGTTGTAATGATCAAGTACATTTTCATCACGTTAATACCATGGTTTCCACTACCTGTGCTAACACATCAGTGGCGTACGCTTTACTTCGAAAATAATTTTAATAAATTTTATGTGGAGAACGTTTAAACAAAGAATTTTTTAAATATTTTTTCCAGCATGTTCTCATTTGATACTATTAAGGATAAAATTTTGTCGGTCTATTTAAGAATCACCTTGTATACATCATTTGCGAATTCAGTTCACTAACTTTAAAAATGTTGTCTTTGGTGTGATAATAATTGTTGTAGTAGCTTCGTTTACCTCCATTTTTTACTGCAGTTACAATGTTTTGTATTTTTTTACCGTACGTTTCTTTATACAGAGTGGAATTTTTAACTGGAATAAAATTCATAAGCAATTTTTGTAAAAAATCCAGAAACAGGTCTATTTTTATTTTTCCTTGTGCATCATTTGACATTTATGGTTTTTGTTTATCTGCTTTCTAAAATGCACAGCCACATAACTTTTTTTTTTCAAATGTAATGATTTGAGAAATGATATCTCGTTTGAAAGGTCGTTTTGCAAGGAATACAATGTACTATTTATTTTCTGATCATTTTCAAAACCTATGTGATAAAAAATAAAACCAATCTTATAAGATTTTTTCAGGATTTTTTATAAAAATCGCTTGTATTCAAATTATGAATTTTATTCCAGTTAAAAATTCCACTCTGTATTTTTCTAATGTAAATTGTAAGCATGCTTCCACTAAAAATTACCAAAAAAAACTATCTTCAATAACGGTGGTCCATCTTTCTCCGATGCGAGAAAAGAGATAAATTACTAAATTACATCTGCACAACTTTGAGTAGAAGACTGGTTATAATTTGAGCTATACATCATATTAATATGTTTTTGCTTAAACTTGCCACCATTAAACTGAGATGATTGTAACGGGTGTTTTTTTAAATGTGGTGTCAAAGATATCCATGAAAGTTTGATTGTAAACAAGCCATCGTATTGAAAATTATTAATCTGACATTTGATACCTTGCGGGACGTATTAATAATTGTGATCCGTTCGCAACACACTCAAATCACCGCCAACTATGACGCCAAATTTAAATAAACACCTGTTAGGTGTATGCAAGCCACTATATTTTCTGATCAAAGTTGTGCGTAAAATGCTTATACATAATTTTGTATTAGACCCATGCGTTTTCCTAGCGCTCTCTTACAGTAACTTAAAACATTAGGATTTACATTTTGCTATGGAGCGCCAGAAAAACTC